CAACGTTCGTAGAAGCACAGTTTTATACTGTGGTATAATTCCTAAAAACAATGGGTATATTGATTGAGAATCGTATTAGAAGTGTTGAAATAAATAGTTAAACAATACAATACAATGGTATTTTCAAACAATCGAATTGATTGAATTTTAAAATGTGACTTGAAATTTGCTAGAGAAATTGATGTTACTATAGTGTGTCATATTTCAGTTGAAATACAAGTTTCATTTATAGTGCATGTATTTTTTGAAAAATCAGTTTTCCAAAACGTTATGTAAGAGAATTGCTTTGTTTTCTTGAATGCAATGCGTTGCCCAATAATGACCTGTTGAAATTAACCTTGCTAAAGTTTGCAAGAGATATATTCAAGTTGAATTTGTCGTCTGACTTATAATACCTAAATATCTTAACAGAATCACTATGAAAATCAGAATTATCATCTTGGAATAAAATAGACAATATGTTTGAAATCAATTGCCACAAACGTTGAGTTGTTCTACAAAGAACTAAAATATGAGTAATTCTCACAAGAAAATGTACAAAATCGCAGTGTATGTGGTCTATTGCGGCAATTTTATGCGAAAAGATATTTTTAAATATTGAAGTAATGTTATAGGCATTATTGCCGAGCCTGTTCGGTGTCAAACCACTATATGGAAGAACCAGACAGCTTTGAAATCCACATCCGGGTATCATCACAATTAACATAATTCGTATTCTCCATGCAGAATTAATGGTTTATAAAAATAGGTTGGTGATAAATATCGCATTATTGAAAACGGTGTCCATCTGGTTTGCTATTTCCGTCCAGGCTTGAATCATTTTGATATAAAAAGAAGGCAGGTTGGGACAATTTAAGAGCGTCATTAATGGGAGCCAAGTATTGATTAGCAGTTTTTATCAAGAAAGAACTCTTGATTTTTTTTTGAATTTGTGGTGGTTGTTGGGGTGAATGAACTTTTTTAAGCGGAACTATGCACGCTGGGATCGCTAAACAGATAAATTCATCCCTCCTTCGACAGTTGAGTTTGTGGGAACATTATACCTAATCAAGTAACCAAAATATACAATTATTATAACCTCTTTTAAATGCGTTAAGTGGGTCAGATATTGGACTGATTGAAAACACATGTAAATAATAAAATGAAGACGAAGAATACAAGGCGTTAATTATCTGGGTTTTCCTTTCAGAGTAAGGTGTCGCCGCCGCCGTTGATTAGGAATCATAAAACATTTTATTTTACTATTCCGATTAGAGTCCAAGATGTCAGTATGTTTGTGACCCATAGAAACAGCGAGTATTTTTATTATGCCAACTCAAACAGATCCTGAGAAATCCTGAAGTGCGCCCTCTATTGCTACCACGCTATAAT